CCCCTGTAGCTCAAGCGGCTAAGGTGCCAGCCACATACACCAGAGCTAGCGGGTTCGAATCCAGCTCAGGCCCACCAAACAACAATGACAACTACAACCAAAAAATAGCCGGGCATTGTGGCAGGCAACTGTAGTCCCAGCTACTTGGGAGGCTGAGGCAAGAGACTCGTTTAAGTCCAGGAGTTGAAGATTGCTGTGAGTTATGATGCCATGGCACTCTACCCAGGGCGACAGCTTGAGGCTCTATCTCAAAAAAAAAAAAAAAAATTAAGCATTTTTTTATTAATGGGAAACCTGTGTCGACATCAGGAAAAATATGACTGAGGGCAAAGCTGAAAAGAGAAGAGCTTATGAGAAGAACAAAATAGAAGCTGAATGAATGGGCAGCCTAATGTCTCCTGAGTTATAGCTTGTTGCTGAAGGGTTTGTTTACAAATTTCCACACCATTCATAGTCATAATCAAATGCTTTAAAGATATAGACAATATACTTAGGGTTTGAAATTTTTCCCACTGCTCTGTATGAAAGAGACCACTTCTTATAGTTTACTGATGTTCTATACTTTTTAAGTTATGACAAAAATGTCTGTAAAATTGTAAATCTTGACATGTACAGTCAGTGTATTTTCAATATAGAAGCTATCTTTTAGCACCATCATCAACAAGAGCAGACATGAGTACCTGAATTACCATGTTTATTAGACGAGTTTTAAATTGATGTGGAAAGGACATTAGAAAATAGCGCTCCACGAGGGGGGGGCGGAAAGGGTGAGACCCTGTCTCAAAAGAACAAAGACAAAACCAAAAACTTTTTATAAATGAAGCACAATTTTAACAGTTGCAAGATTCTGATTTATTGCATCCTGGTGCTAAATGTAACATATTTAATTATCTGGACCATTTAATAAAAACCTTACCTATATGTGAACTATCAAGAAAATATTTCCCCTAAAGTACAAATATACCTCCCCTAGGTCTCCAGTTTGATGTCACCAAGTAACATGCCCTACTTAGTTCCAAAAGGTATCTAAGAAAACTCAAACATAAAGCCATTAGAAGAGAAAATAGAAGATCAAAATTTATACAGAGGCTGGGTAAATAAATCTAGCAAAAAAATAAGCTAACATGGCTCCTGTAATCAAACAATAATTTTAGCTCTAGGCTTACAGACAGTGGCAGCAAACAACCACCACCACAAAAAAAAAAAAAAAAAAAAAAAAAAAGCAATCACAGCAAACTGTTAACTCAGAGCTAGAAACCTGTCCCTAAAATTTGAAAGGAATTTTTCAGATGAGTCATTACATAAGAACACTGAACAACATAATTGGCAGGGTCTTCAGTGGCAGGTTACAGCCTCTTTCTTCTCAGCCTTTTCATGTCACAAGCCAAGGTCATCACATTAAAAGTAACCCCCACAAGCTCATTTCTGCAGCGGCTAAGATTCCCACATTTTATGATTCTCTAACTGAAACAGAAGCTGTTCTCAAACATTCAACCTCCACGGATGGGCTTCTAACTGCAGAGAAAACAGCTCTGACAGCCTGTAATGGAGATATTTATTTTTCCCTGGTGATCCCACCCTTTGGGTAGCAGTTGGGGAAGGATGCAAGGCTGACAAGCTGCCCTCAAAAGGGCCAGGCCAGGCCTATACTCCCAAGGGGTTGGGGTTGGGGGGACTAGGAACCCTAGGTGGAGTTGGATTGGTCAAACCTCTCCAAGAATTAGCCAGGCCAGGGTACAGCAACCATTCCTCACAGCTATCACTGCTATTGGTGTGTGCAAGTATAAACCAGGGCCCTTAAAAATACTGGTTTACTGGTCAAATGCATAAGGAAGCAAGGCTCAGCATCATGTTCCTTCTCCATATTTCTGCCCTAAAGCGCAACTTTTTTATGCATTTTACCATTTCAAGATACTGTCTGTGAAGACAAAGCAAAACATCTTAAAAAGGAACACCAACAGATGCAGTGGGACAGAACGACAAGCACACCAGGCAGGATCTCCTATGCCCGATGCATGGCAGATCAGGGGTTACTGCAGTCAGAATTCCCTGGGGACCCACAGGAAGGAAATCCCCTTTCCCAAACACCAGGCCCCCTCTCTCGCCCTGCCTGGCAACACCAGACGCCAAAGGATAAAGGGGACATTTAAAAAGAAGTGAGATTTCTTAGAGTGGAGCACAACATTCTGTCACCTGCTGCAAAAGACAAGCCTTCCTGTCGCCCAGCCCTGAGTCACTTCCCCTCCCTGCAGTCTTACTTGCGGGGGGCAAAAGACCTGGGCCGTCCAGAACTCGCCGCCCGCAGCCCCCACGCCCCGGGCAGAGACACGTGCGGAGCCTCCCTCTAGGACGCGAACCGGAGGCTGCCGACCGGCTCTTATGCCCAAGCCCGCGCCGCCGCTACCTTGGCTAATGGCAGTACTGAATGAAAGGAGCCGAGGCATGCTCCGGATTTATGAATGTGCAAGGGAGGAGGGGAGGGATGTCATGTGACAATAAAGGAGAGCGTCTTATTCACAAAAAAAAAAAGTGGCTGGTGGCGGGCACAGCCACTAAGTAGCGGCGGTCGCCGTGCGATGACCGCTCGGACCCCAGGCCGAAGATCTGAGGCGCCCAGCCCAGCGGCCCCGCCCCCGTCGCTCCCTAGACTGGAAACGCCTCGGGCAGGGGAAGGAAAATGCCAAACTGGACTCTGAGACATCCGGGCGGGAAGCCGCAGCACCTTTGCTCGAGGCTGCAGACGGGCACAAGTCCCCCGCGGGGCCCCGAGTCCCTCCGGCAAAGCGCCCGGAGCATTGTTCCCCTCGGGCCCGCGGGGCGGGCACACGCCCGTGCACGCGCACACGCGAGCGCACCCACACACAAACACACACACCCCACAAGCTCGCCGGCAGCGCGCTGCCCCACACGCTCCCGCCAGCCCCAGCCGCACACGTTCAGACCTTCCCCGAGCGGCCCCGACCCCGCGAGGCGCGTGTGCCGGCCCACAAGCGCGTGCACACACTCACACGCGCCGCGGTACTCCTCGGGCAGCTCCGGCACGCCGGCTCGCGCGGGGACCCGGGCGCACCAGACCCCCGCGCAACCCGCGCCCGTCCTCCCCTGGTTCCGCCGCGTTTTTTATGAATGAAAATGTGGTATGCAAATGAGAGCGATTCAAGAAAACGAAATGGCGGAGCCTAGGCCCCAGTGGGCTGGGAAAGCAACTGCGGGGCGAGCGGCGGGGCGGGAGTCACAAAGTCACCATGTAAAATCCCACGGGTCCCGGGAGTGGGGGTGTCAGATCTTCTGCTTCAGTCACCGAGGATTTCGGGGGAGGGGGGCTGAGTCCTCGGAAAGAGAGCGGGGACCGCTCCGAGGTCACCCGCGCGCCCTTGGCCCCCGCAGCAGCCACCAGCCAGCCGACCCTAGGCGTGCCACCGCCGGCCCCAGGCAGTTTTTGCCCCCTCCTCACTTTAATTAGGAGAGAAGTCTCACGTCTCCACCCCGACAGGTCAGCGAGTCAATGCACTCCACACTAAGTTCACCCAACCAGCGTCCCCACCCGCATCCTCAGCCCTGGCCCCCACGCTGCCCCCTCGGGGCACCCTCGTCCCACCCTGCAGCCAAACTTACTCGTCCGGGTGTGTTTCTTCGGTCATTTTCTTGTTCACCTAGACGCCTGTCCCGCGGCGGGCAGCTTTGCTCCCTTCATCTTCCTGTCCGCTCACCCCCCTTCTTCACATCTCCGGAGATCGCCTGATTTGGGGGGGGGGGCGGCTGGAGATGAAGGGGGCGCCGCAGGCAGAAGGGGAAGCGGAGTGCCTGGGGCGCAGGGTGAGGTTTAGGGGAAGAGGTGCAAAGTCGAGCTGCTGGTGGAGTGCGCCGCTGCGCCGAGGGGCTAGGCGGACTGTGGGCCCGGGGGCTCAGGAGCTGGCGGAGGGGGCGATATTTGGGCAGGGGACGACGGTGGGGGAGAGCAGGAGAAAAACAAGCGCGCCTCGGAGCGGCGGGGACTGCAGAGGAGGCGGAACAGGCCGGCCGCTGGGGGCTCGGTCTGGGGTCGCCCCCGGGGGCCGGGCCAATCACGGTTCCGGGGAGCGGTCGGCGGTCGGGGGAGGTGCGCCTGGGAGGCGGTGCAGGGCGCCCCGTCCGAGCCCCATCTCTCGAGTCTACCGATTTACTCCATATTGGATTCTCACCGCCGCCAACAGGAGGAGGAAGTAGGGCGGAAGCGATGACGTCTTCCCAGCGGCCAGAGGTGGTGGAGTGCAAAAAGCTTCCTACTTGCGACCGAAAAAAAAAACTTTGTCCTGCCTACCGAGCACGCTCGGCTTCCTTTCTCCCTCCCTCCAGGCTTCCACTCCCGGGGGAGCAGCGGAGCCGAGTTGTTTGCGCCGCGATTGTCTGGCTCCGAATCCTCCTTGGTCGAGGCTCCGGGTTTTAGGAAGCCCGAGAGGAGGGAGGAGGCGGGAGCAGGGGACTCGTACACATCTGGCTCCCGTTTTGTCCCCTCCCTCCTTCCAAATCCTAGATTAAAATTCAGGGGTGGGGGCAGCGGGGTCGGAGATGAGCAGCTCAAGGGAGGGGATGAAGTTAAGCCATTGGAGGAGTTCGAGCTTAGAGGAACAACTGCCGCCACCCTAAGGTGGGAAGGTAGAGGTGGTGCAGGTGCCAGAGTCTGGTCTCTCCACCCCAACCCAACCAGAAGGGAGGGGGGTTAGACTTTGCCAAGGTTCTGAATGGCAGAGGCTTTTCAGTTTCACGTGAATTTTGTGATTTTTTTTCTGATAGGGAAACGGGCATTTTTAAAGTAATGTACACAGAAAAATAAACCCAACACAGACCAGAAATGTTTGCATTTCGGTAGAAAGAATGGAATTTCTCATGTTGAGGCAATCCCATATATATATATATATATATATTTAAATTGTCTCTTTCTCTTATTGGTGGAGGATAGCTCTTGTCTCAGGCCCTTGAAGGCCATTGTTACTGGATCAGAGGTTGCCAGCCCTATGGGCTTTGGCACAAGGAGATGCTTCCCCTTTACTTAAATTATTTTTCCTGGGTGGACCCAGGCTCTCCTAAGCAGCACTGTCTGGGCAATAGGCATGACTAGCTTCCTGGGTATGCAACCTGTGCCACCACACAGGAATGAGCACTTGGTATCATGCTGTGCTGTTGCAGTCTTGAAATTGTTTATAATTTTTAAACAAGGGACTCTAGGTTTTCATTTTGTAATAGGTCCCACAAATTATGTGTCCCTTGGGTATTTCTTCTGGGGTCCCGGTAGGAAGCAAGAGACAAAGTCCCTGCCCCTTCCTGCTCTCCAAGGATAGTAGACCTTTCCATCCTCCTGAATATACCAAGAGACAACCCAGAGATTTTAACTAAATAGTAGCCAGTGAGCAAATTAAGAGAAGAATAAATATTGTCTCAAATATACATAAAAGGGGAAGGCGCCTGTGGCTCAGTGAGTAGGGTGCCGGCCCCATATACTGAGGGCAGCGAGTTCAAACCGCTGCATATACTGAGGGTAGCGGGTTCAAACTCGGCCCTGGCCAAACTGCAACAAAAAATGCTGGATGTTGTGGTGGGTGCCTGTAGTTCCAGCTACTTGCAAGAGAATCGCCAAATGTGAGCTATCTACTGAGGGCGATAAAGTGAGACTCTGTCTCTAAAATATATATATATATATGTGTGTGCGTGTGTGTGTGTATATATGTATATATACACACATAGTATATGCATATAGAGAGCCACAAGTGCACCAGAAATGCTACAAGTTTCACCTTGAGTCAGGGAGAAACTGGTGGTTTGCATTACACTTTGTGCTTATCACTGGGGACATGGATTGGGGTTCACCCATTTTTGATGCTGGATGCTGGTGATGTATGGTGGTAAGAAGGGCATCAGACAGGAGGTGGGTTCTGTTTTTCTTCTAGCAGCCCCTGAGAACCTTAGGCTTTTAGCAGTTCTTCAGTTTCTTTATAAAACAGGAATAACAAGGCCAAGCTTGTCTTTCTCAGTTTCTGAGGCCACTGAGAGTCTGTGAGAAAGTACTTAACAAACCCAAGATCCCATAGTTCTCTATATCCCCAGTTTTCACCTTTGGCCATTGTTGCTCTTCTCCCTGGAGGTGCTGAAAGACATCCCGCTCTTCATCATTCCTGAACTTCCCAAACACAGGCATTTATCTCTGTTGAAATCATCCACCCAAAGGGCATCTCTCTGGCTCCACCTCTAATTTCAGAATGCCCAAATGGCAAGGTGGCAGGTGAGGTGATTATTAATTTCTGCAGGCAGGCCGGTTCTAGGAGCAGGCAGAATTGTTGTCATCATCACTCAGCCAAGCTGTCTGCTAATAGCAGTGAACCACTGGGACTGGCCCAGCCAGTGGACCAGGCAGTCAGGGAGCAATGGTAAACATTCAAGGGTCTAGGAGTCACAGAGTCCCCGCTGAGATTTGCTCCAGCCAGGCCATCTCAGATAGGTATTTAGGTTCTCTGAGCCATGGGTTCAGTGTTGTGTCAGAATAATCCCCACAACCTAGGGTATGGGCTATACAGTAAAAGTACTGTGTTAACCACGCTTGCTGCAAGTACCTAGTATGAGATTCCTTGTAGCCCTTTCTTCTCTCTAGCCAGCTGGATTACCAAAAGCTCCACTCCTCATCCTTCATGTTCCTCTAAATGAAGCTTTCCAGTTCTTTCCTGCCTTGTGCATCACCCAAAATGGGCCTTTCTATGGAAACTAGCAAGTCACCTCTCAATGCTCCCTGTCAGTTACTGACTCCAGCATCTTCGGTAGGATAAATGAGAATACTGGGCAAGTAACTCCGATATGTTCATTTATCTGACTATCAGGGTGTTATCAAAGTCCACGGGATTGTTGCCAGAATAGGGGATGCCACGGATTTAGGGTTTTAATTTAGTGACATTGCTGAAAGAGCTAAGGACCCACATCCCTCTCTCTCTCCCCACAACCAGCGGAACAGGGTGCAAGCAGCTCTGAACACGATCAAATCAATAGTGTTGATTCCGAGTAAGATCGTAAAGCTTCAAAAGTAATATCGATCTGCTTACAACTTCATGCAAACCCAGCGGAGAGTCCAGCACAACCCCCACCTACCGGCCTCTCAATTCAGAGTCCGAGGCGGGGGAGCACACCCACCCGGGTCCCTCCAGCCGGCCGCCCGGAAAGCCCGGAGCGCGGAGCCGGAGCGACCCTTCGCGGCTGCGGGACGGGCATGCTCAGTAGACCCGCAGGTCCTGTTTCACTGGGAAGCGGGCTGCGGCCCCCACCCCCTCCCGCCCGGCTCGGGCGCCAGGAGCGGACATTTTAGTCTCCTCTGCAATCCTCTCGTCCTTCGCCCCTTCCCGTCAGTGCAGGTCCGGTATGGCTGGGAGTGTAGATTTCCTCAAGGGTGGGATCTGATAAATTCACTCACCCTCCCCTCTCCCAGGGGCGGGGACGGGGGGTGGTGATCCTGGGAGGACTCTGCGGTGCCCCGAGGTTTGTGCGGCCCGGCCGCGGCCGGCCGGGAGGAGCCCTTTGCTACCGCTGTGCCCAGGTCCCCCGCCCCGAGCGGCGCGCGCAGCTGCGCGGGGGCCTGTCCTCGGCTCACCCCAGCTCTGCCCCTTCGGTATTTCTCAATGACCAGCGCTCCCAGGACACTTCCGACGCTGACGGGAGGGGGTGTCATTAGCGCTTGGTTTATCAGTTCCTTCCGGTCTGCCCGAGCCCAACCCCGCGCGCTGCTTGGCGGCAGTTCGGGAGCTCTGGTGCCTTTATTATTATGTTTGAATAAGCAGCCGTGTGTGCCAAGTGAGTTTGTAGCCCAGCTGTCTTCCCCAAGACCCGCTGGCAGGAATGGAAACCCAAGCTCTCTCGTAACGCAGGGGACTGTGCAAACTTAGAAACTGACCCGGCGCTCGGGAATGGTGACCCCCCCCCTCCCGGCGGCGCGCGGCGTCCCAGTCGGGGTATGAATGGCTGCAGCCGGATTGCATAATCTGCATGGTATAAATAGCCGGCAGGCGGGCCGCTGACGCGCTGGGTTGTACCGTTATCGTGCAATACTTCATCCCCGATGCCGTTCACTCCCAGGTCATTTTCCCTTTCAGCTGCAGTGCTGGGATTTTAAATAGTAGAGATGAAAGGCCCTTGCTCCCGCCTCCCTCCTTCCCTGACTCTATGTATTGTGAATGAAACGCCAACCTCGCTGCTTCCTGAGGTGCTCACTTCAGGTAGGAGAGAGGCTCAATGTCATTGCATAGGTCCATCAAAAGTTGGGGATGTCCGCGTCTTTGGGAACGGCAGAAAGCAGGAAATAATTGACGGGGCTGGGAAACATTCTTTTCCAGAAAATGTAACCGCTTAGGCTTTGCCTTTAGAGTTTCAGTTTACAACTTTACAAGCCCTAGTGCATTTAAGAATGGATTATGCATAGGGTCCTTCCACTGGCTGCTTG